TTTTGCAACTTGCTTTTTTAAAAATCTGAACTACAGTATTGAGAGTCTCTTATTTCATATATGCCTGATTTAATAACTTTAAATCCTGTCTAGCATTCTATAATCAGCTATTCCTCAATTTATCTTTCTCCTATTGTGAGAAATGTGAGTTGTTTCCAATTTTCTCATTATGAACAATTCTGCTGTGACCATCCTTGTGCCCACCTGTAAAAATTTCTCAAGGATATATGGAGAATTGTGGGATCATAGGGTATACCCATTTTCAACTTCACTTGATAGTTGACAGATTGCTCTATAAATGATAATATCAAGTTATCCTTCCATCTGTGTTTGAAGATATACCCACATCTTCACCAGTTCTTGTTAATGTTAGATCATTGTTTTTCGGGGGTTTTTTTTGTTTTTGTTTTTGTTTTTTTGTCAATCTGATGGATATGAAGTGGTATCATTTCACTGTTTTAATTTGGATTTCCCTGATGACAAGTGGGGTTAAGGATTTTTTCATATGCATTGGCCATTATGATTTCCTCTCCTAATTGTTTATATACTTTGTCCATTTTCTCATTTGAGTTTTTTCATTGATTTATAAGAGTGTGTATGTGTGCATGTGTTGTTTCATTGATTTATAAGAGTGTGCATGTATGCATGAGTGTGTGTGTAAAGTTCTGGATACTATTTTTATAGTATTACTAATATATTCTCACCAGTTATGGCTTATCATTTCATTTTGATTGTCAGATAAAAGTTATGATTTGGCATAGTCAAAATTATTCATCTTTTTCTTTATTTTGTACTTTTTGTGCTTTCTTTTCAAAACCTTTCTGTATTCCCAAGGTGAAAAAGATATTCTCTTATACTTTATTCTAAGAGTTTTAAAATTTTATTTTTGAGGTTAGGTCTTGAATAACATTGGGCTTTACTTTTATGTATGATTTGATGTAAGGAATTGTATTAGTCCATTTTCACTCTGCTAATAAAGACATACCTGATACAGGGTAATTTATAAAGAAAAGAGGTTTAATTGACCTATAGTTCAGCATGGCTGGGGAGGCTTCAGGAAACTTATAATCAAGGCAGAATGGGAAGCAAATATATTCTTTTCACATGACAGCAGGAAGGAGAAGAATGAGAGCCAAGTGAAATCGGGGAAAAGCCCCTTATAAAACCATCAGATCTAATGAGAACTCACTCGGTATCAAGAGAACAGCCTGGAGGTAACTGCCCCAATGATTCAATTGCCTCCCACCTACAACACGTGCGGATTATAAGAACTACAGTTCAAGATGAGATTAGGGTGGTGACATAGCCAAACCATATCAGGAATGTATCTACTTTTTCTCTATAAGAAAATGCAGTTGTTTCAACACCATTTATAAAATTTCACTTCATTCTTTTAAAAATAAATTTTACTGAAAAAAAAAAACCTAGAAATTTCTTTTTAAATTATGGTAAAATGCACATAACAGAAAATTTACCATTTTTAAGGATGAAGTTCAGTAGTGTTAGTATATTCACATTACTGTGCAACCAATCTCCAGAACAATTTTTATCTTGCAAAATGAAACTCTATACCTATTAAACAACTCTCCATTCCCCTCTTTCCCCAGTCCCTGGCAACCAACCTTCTACTTTCTGTCTCCATAAATTTGACTGCTTTAGGTACTTCATGTAA